ATATATATATATATATATATTTTTCTATGTTTAACCGTTCAAGATATAAAGAACGTGACAAACAGCCATTTGGCTATAATATATAGAGATGGGTAATTTTCTGCTTTGATTCAAGGACAAATAACATGGTTTCTATGTTATATGGGTTGAGCGTGGCCTTGCGGTTAGCTTGCCTGGACTATGAATCTGCATATTCATGATTCGCGACCTATTGATGTAAAAATGCACTCCGTTTTTTGGGGCCACGAGCTAACTTTAATAGTAACAGTCAAAGCTCTCTAATCAGATAAAAGTAGCTCAATAGTTGTCGGTGAGTGCTGTTTACTAGTCAGTTTAAAAATAGGGACGGATATGCACAGATAGACCTTGTTTAACAAAAAACATATTAGTTACATAGTATTTCGTGCGTTTTTCAACTTTTATTTCTTAGAAGGCATCTTGAAGCCTTGACCAAATTCTTTCGTCAGTGAAGCCACGTGTTGGTTTCGTCTACTTGTTTTTGGTATTCCTGGTCTAACAAAGTATGACACACTTTTTTATCCTTCTGGCTAGCTAGAAAAAACAACAAAAACACACACACACAGGAAGACAATAAAAACTTTGCCAAGAAATAATAATTGTAACCAGTGGTAGTTCTCTGAAGAGACAGGAGTGACTAATCTAAAATCCTTCCTGTTTCCACATTTACTTTGTAAAGAGAGACTGAACCATTGATAATTAAAATATCCAACGGAAATTGTTTCTCAGAACTAACAGGCCCCGCAAAGCCAGATGGTTAGGGCGCTCGACTCGCAATCTGTGGGTCGCGGGTTCAAATCCCCATCCCACCAAACAGGCTCGCCCCTTCAGCCATGGGGGCGTTATAATGTGACGGTCAAACACACTATTCGTTGGTAAAAGAGTAGCCCAAGAGTTGGCGGTGGGTGGTGATGACTAGCTGTCTTCCCTCTAGTCTTACACTGCTAAATTAGGAACGGCTAGCGCAGATAGCCCTCGTGTAGCTTTGCGCGAAATTCAAAAAACAAACATACACAAATACATTATTTTAATTTATTACTAGTAGATCCCCATGGAAAGGATTCAACGGGAAATTTCCTAAAAATAGTAACGAATAAATAAAAAATATTTAGTCAACTCAAAATGGATTTCTTTTATGAATTAATTTTGATGTTTTGGTTTAAATAATAGATTTGTTTGGATTTAATTTCGCTGTTTTGTTTTAGAATTTTTTTTTTTTTGTAAAATCATTTCGACGTGTTGGTTTAAAAAAACGGATTTTTAACATTAATTTTGCTGTTTTGGGTTTAGAAAGTGGATCTTTTAAAATCAATTAAAACATAAAGCAGTGATGCTTTGGCTTAAAATTGATTTTTAGCATTAATGTCGATATTATGGTTTAAAAATTGATCATCTTAACATTTATTAGAAGGATGGTAAAACATTATGAATTCAAGACTTGACTAAACTAAAATTGTTCCTGTTTTGACAAGTTTTAATGAATAGGTGAAACTTGAAACTTTTCGATTAACTTGTTAATTAGTTTCATGTTGTATTAGTTAGAAATTCATTTTTATTATGAAGAGATAGACATAAAAGAAAAAGACCTTAGAAAAATCCAACTATGTTATTAATATCTGATGTTTTTTGACACTCCCCAATTTCAAAATTAGGTTTAGCAAAATTCAGTCCAAAACTAGTTTAGCATTGCTGCGCTAAACTATATAGCAAAAGTATTTTGTTATACTAACGGTTTTTACAAAAACATAGTATATAAATAAGGGTTTCCACCTTTTCTTTCAGACTAATTAACTTTCATTCATTAGTAACTAATTATACATACACATGTAAAAAAAAAATCATTGCTCACAAGTTCATGATACTTTTATTTATGATACATGGAGGATAAAAATGTAGACTAACGATAGTTTAAAATTATAAACTATAGCTCAAAATTCAAATCAATATCACATATTTGTAATTCTGTAACACACGAGTTTTCCATATAAAGATTATTACCAATTTGTATTTCAAAATGTGATCAAAGATCGACCTATTTATGCTTAAAGTGACGTCAGAGTCAAACATTAACAGCTGTAAACATTGACTGGTGAATGCTCGTATTCTACAAACAAAATGCAGAGCTAAGGGCCCTTTAGCTGCTTTGATACCAACCCTGTTGATAAGTTCAAGTTTTCATTCTTCACGAGATGTTTATATTAAATGGTTCGGTTCGAGCGTTGAACTGGACGTATCTTAGACGTCATGTAAAACTGCCTAACTTAAAGAGCACGTTGTTTATATATTCTCGAGCTCTTTGTGACAACAGCTTGCTACTCCACTCTAGAGTTAACAGCTACGAAGAAGCCTGGAAACAGCCACATCCTCTCGTTCCAAAATATTTCAACTTTGTTGGTGATGTCATAGACAAATGGGCTTCAAAAGAACAAGTAAGTTACTATTCTTAATGTTTGTTATAAAAAATTGTGCTACAGTAAATCATTTGTTTCTTAACACAACGTTTCATAGACTGTAAACAAGTTACTATTTTAACACATCGTTTCACAAACTGTAAACAATAAGTTATTGTTTTAACACATCGTTTCACAAACTGTTAACAATAAGTTATTGTTTAAACACATTGTTTCACAGACTGTAAACAAGTAAGTTATTGTTTAAACATACCATTTCACAGACTGTAAACAAGCAAGTTATTGTTTTAACATAAAGTTTCACAGACTGTAAACAAGTTACTGTTTTAGCACATCGTTTCACAAACTGTAAACAATAAGTTATTGTTTGAACACATTGTTTCACAGACTGTAAAAATAAGTTATTTTTTTAACACCTTGTTTCATAGACTGTAAACAATAAGTTATTTTTTAATACATTGTTTCACAGACTGTAAACAAGTAAATTATTGTTTAAACACACCATTTCACAGACTAAACAAGTTTCTGTTTAAACATACCATTTCACAGACTGGAAACAATTAAGTTTTTGTTTTAACACATCGTTTCACAGACTGTAAACAAGTAAGTTATTGTTTTAACATAAAGTTTCACAGACTGTAAACACGTAAGTTACTGCTGTTAATGTTCAATAGCTTATTGAACTATTATTGTAGCTCCAGTTCTAGAAGTGCTATCAACGTGGTTTGATTGTATCTTCAGTTTTTTATTAGTAGAGCAGCTTCAATTCAGTTTTCAACGATCCAACCATTTTGAATTTTTTTATTGATTACAACATTCTGTATAGTTTGGGAGATTACGCTGGATCTCCTTCTGTTTTTTTTTTTTGTTGTTTTCTGTACTTGGAATTTGTAGATAACGTACGGGTTTTTTATATCTACTTCTGTTTTTTTTTAACGTACGGGTGTTTTATCCTTGAAAACAAAGTAGTCATGTAGTCTCCTTCAAGGCTTGAAAATACTCGTGAATATGTTTTCTTAATAACATTTTTCGGCTGATTCTTAATCTTGAATCCATGTCAGCCCTTAAAGACAAGCAATTGTTTTTCTTTGTAATAACCGTATATGAGAAATATTATTGTTGAGATATCATGGTAAGTTTAATTAAATATAATATCCGTAGCTGGATGAGCTTTGAAAGTTTTTAGATCCCACACGCCTCCCAGTGGCTCAGCAATAAATCTGAGGACGTACAACTCTAAAAACTGGTTTCGATACTCGCTATGGGCACAACACATACAAGCCAATATGTTAAGTTACAACCAAACAAGATCCTTGTCGTGAGGAAAATTTCAAACATGTACATGTTTTTTTTCATCATTTGTAATTTGATAGATTATGCATTATGTCATTAGACTGTTGACTTCACTTCACAGCCGCGCTTTCTGTAGTAAAGATGGTCTCCTAAGATGGGGTTATCTGTGTTTTAGCCAAGAAATATTTGTTTTTCTAACGATAATCTTGCATATGTGGAAGAAGTCTATTAATCTTACAGTTTGTTTATATGCATCCAAAAGGTTTATCGATTTTTCCGAACATAATTCCTACTGATAAGTGATAAAACCACAGTAAATGGAACAAGCTGTCAGAAATCTGATATCAGAGAAACTAGTTTCGTCACATTCATGCGTACAGGTTGTCACCTGCTGATCAATTTATTTTGGTCTTCCCTGTATTGTTTCATATGTTTTTAACCTATAGCTAGCTGTTTAAATTATTTGGATCTTTCCTTTATTATCCTACATGTTTTAACTATAGCTGGCCGTTTAAATTATTTTGGTCTTCCCTTTATTATCCTATATGTTTTAACCTATAGCTGGCTGTTTAACTAATTTTGGTTTCCCTTTATTGTCCTACATGTTTTAAACTATAGCTGGCTGTTTAAATTATTTTGGTCTTCCCTTTATTGTCCTACATGTTTTAAACTATAGCTGGCTGTTTAAATTATTTTGGTCTTCCCTTTATTGTCCTACATGTTTTAACTATAGCTGGCTGCTTAACTTATTATTGTCGTACATGTTTTAACCTATAGCTGTGGACCAGCGTATGTCTATGAAAGAAACCGATAGAACGATAGAAACCGGATTTCGATATCCTTGAGGGAGCAGAGCACAGATAGCCCATTGTGTAGCTTTGTTCTTAACTACAAACAAATAACAATTGTACGTTGTACCTTACTAGCGATGTCCCATTGGACGAAAGACTAAGCTGGTAGTAATTACTTTGAATATTAACATTATCGAGGTATTTTGTTTTCATTTGGCCATGTAAAAGTTTTCGACAAATAACAGTAACAGGTTATTTTTACTTAGAACGTGAGATATTATAAGTAAATCTCATTCCTTTTTATGAAGTTGCTATGGCAACACCATGTGCTTTGTTGTCTTGGACACTCAAGATACTTTATGTTAACTTTTGTTTGCATGAATTAATGAAGAAAAAGTGGATCAGAGTAAGATATCTGATAGTACATAACAAACCCTGAATATGAGTTGAACCTTTCAAAAGCAGACTGCTCCAATCAAACTAAATCTTTTTAATGGTTTTAGAGACAATTACACGAAAATTAACATTTTAAATTCATTTTTGTTATTTTCTGATATAAAAATGTCTTGTTCATAATCATGATTTGCGATAATTTTATGTTTTTAATTTGTTTGAGAGACATATATTCTATTTTGTTTTTTATGTTATCTACCGAATAGGATACTAAAACATATTTTATGTTCATAAATATAATAACATCATACATAATTATGTCCACTGTCTTCCTCACACGTCAGGATGGACTCAAAGTTGGGAAAGGAGCTTTTTGGTTTGTCCAAGTTGATGGTGCGGAAGTTTCATGGAGTTTCAAAGAATTGTCCAACCTCACCAAGAAGTAAGCTTTCTTTAAGAAAATAATCCATGTAAACATTGTTATTGCAATTGTAATAAATACAGATGTTTTAAACATATTTATCTTTCAATAGGCAGATACACATCAAGTGGATAGGAAGCTTTTGTTGGTGACAAGAACAAGTAACACGATATAATGTCAAGTATATTACTATCTAATCACTCCAGATTTCCTAAATGTAAACACTAGTTTCTTTTACTGCTCAGAACTTTGAAGCACACATTGTGTTGTCCGTTTATTAAGAAAATCGGTGAGTTCAAATCTAACATTATATTTATTATGACATGTGGTCTCTGTAATGATGGAGAACAGCAATGATCTTTTTATCGTGTTGATCTTTCTCTAGAGCAGCCAACGTTTTGGAAAACGACTGTTTCCTTAAAACTGGAGAAAGAATTATTGTTATGCTACCAAAGGTACCGGAATGGTGGCTAATCAACTTAGCCGCAATTCGAGTGGGTGAGTTCAGAATTATTATGTTATTCAGACAGACAAACACCAGGGTGAAAGGTGTTAGCAAGATATGTATAACATAATACGTGTTAGCCAGATATCTATAATATAATACCAAAACGGCCACAGATGTAAAGCATTAAATTTTGGCCTTTCAAATGAATATCGACAGGAGGATGCAGAAACGGCCAAATATGTTTAATATATGGGTCAATAACCAGTTATTGAAATGGATATAGTTACGGTATTGATAACCCAATACCGAGACCTCTAGAGTTTGTTAATATAACCATTAATAACCAGGTACTGAAATGGGTATAGTTAGGTTATTAATAACCCAATATCGAAACTTTTAGAGTTGGTTAACATAACCATTAATAACCAAGCACTGAAATGGATATAGTTAGGGTATTGATTTTATAACCCAATATCGAAACTTCTAGAGTTGGTTAAAATTAAAGATCTGATTACACCTCTAGTTAACACTTAGTAGTTGTATAAAATCATACATAAGACATCGTTAAAATAAAAAACCAGGAATGTATCTTGTGAACAGAAATGTTAAGAAATTTGATAGGAGTAGTTTTTTATATCGTCATAGGTCTGATTTTATCTCCTGCAAACATTCAACTGACAGGTAAAGACATTCTTTACCGATTTTCAACGTTTCAACCGTCGGCTGTCTTTGTTGATCACCAGGTGGCTTCTGTAATAGACCAGGTGAGAATGTTTCACAGAATTACCAAACTTTTCAGGAGAATATAACACGTGTTATAGTTAGACTTTACGAGCCTGGTTATAGTTGTTTTGATGAAACAGCACGAATTTGATTATTCTATAAATGGGCCTTTGTATTGAACGAATAAAGTCCTGAACACCTCTGTTCTAAAACGTAATAGGGACAGACTTCTGATGTTTATAAGTGGTCTCATAAACACATATATGTTTGTTGCTTTTGTTTTCTAGATTGCTGACAAGTGCCCATCTCTTAGAACCAAAGTACTCGTGAGTAAAGAGGAAAAACACAGGTGAGAAAAATTACAGAACTATGCCTTAGGTTTCAGTTTTGGTTTAATTATTATTGTTCCGAAATTGAGAAGATATCATGGTTACTGAACTCTCTTGGTTGTTCATATTCATAACTCCTTGTCTTAAAGATTCTGTTAAATTCTTGTTAGTTTTCACTGTGATACACTGAGGATGTCATTTATAAATTACAAATTTTAAAACTAGGGTGCATAATACTGAAGCAAAATGGAAGGATTCAATAAAGCTTAGCATGGTAACAGAGTGTACGAATGGAAGGATTCAGTAAAGCTTAGCATGGTTACAGAGTGTATGAATGGACTGCACAGTAAAGCTTAGCATGGTTACAGAGTGTATGAATGGAAGGATTCAGTAAAGCTTAGCATGGTAACAGAGTGTATGAATGGAATGATTCAGTAAAGCTTAGCATGGTTACAGAGTGTACGAATGGAAGGATTCAGTAAAGCTTAGCATGGTAACAGAGTGTACGAATGGAATGATTCAGTAAAGCTTAGCATGGTTACAGAGTGTACGAATGGAAGGATTCAGTAAACTTAGCATGGTTACAGACTGTACGAATGGAAGGATTCAGTAAAGCTTAGCGTGGTTACAGACTGTACGAATGGAAGG